TTGTTTTTTTTTTTTTTTTTGTTTTGTACGGTTTACTCGAGAGTATACCTATCGATTAAATATAATTTGCAATACAATTGATATAATGTAGTTTTGAAAAAAATCACAGACGAGTCTCTTTCTTGGAGGCTCTTAATCAAGTACAATATCAAGTCTCTTTTATCTTAGAGGCTTTAGAAAAATATTCTTGTTCGAGTTTCTATAGTAGAAGCTCTATTCCATATAAAAAATAAACAATATTTTATTCGAATTGTTGTGAATGTTTAAGTGCAAAATGATGTTGTTTGCCAGGGTCGCCAAAATGTTAGCGTTTGTCCTGTGACGAACACTAGCTATATATATATTCTATAGGTTTATTCCTTTTTTATTCTAATCTGTTATATAATGAACTGAAACATATATATATATATCGAATATAGAAAAAAAGAAAAGAAAAAGATGAGAGAGAGAGAGACTAGATATCGATGAGAAAGAAATATATATATATAAATATAACAGGTGTAAGGTCATATCAGTGGAGGAGCTGTAATCCAGCGACATCCACTATAACAACTGTAAAAACATATTATAAAGTTTGTTTTTGCTTTTGACAATTAAAAATAAAACAAACTTTTTAGTGACATTAAAGAAGCTCTCTGTTGAAATATTATTTCAGGTTTTGTTTTCCAAATAGACAAAAATAAGATATCGTCCTATCAAAATTTTCAAAAACAAAACATACGTATATAAACATTTTTGATATATGTCTCTTGGGATGTTTCAATGGTAATTATATTCATCATTGTTTTGAAGAATAAGGTCTGTTATCAGATGTTTAAAAATATATCGGGTGAGGTGTGGGTGTGGTTACTACTTGCTCTACAGTTCATACACTCCCCACGTCCACACCCAAAACAGGAAGTCAAATAGAACATTGATTGTAAAATAATATTTTTCTTATCATCTATAAGTTAATCGAAACTTGTAGTGCAGTTGAGGGTGAAGGTATAAGTCTGGCTGCTATTCAGTGAAAAATTCTGCTGATTAAATCCGATTAAAATTTCAAAATACTACAGTAATAATCGGATTGATAAACTTTGATTAAACTAAAAGTGCTATAAGAGAGTCCGTGAGAGCATTTTGTGAAACACGATTGGTAATGAGTGTTGAAGTATAAGGGTAGAAAAGTGAACCACCTCTCTCGGCCTGCCCCATAGACCGTGATAGACAGAATAGATAAACTTTTCTAGCATCACAGACTGCGACAGACATCCAAAATAGCCATTCCGGTCATGAGGAGAGGAGGCAATTGCTTCTCTGTCTAAAAGTTTTGGATAGATTCGATGATTATCCTGGCGTTAGAGACCATGACAGACGCTCGAAAACCGATATAGGTCTATCGTGTTTCACATTTTTATCCCGCAGGAATTGTACTAAAAGTTTTTTCTGCTTGAGCATATTTTTGTTCCAAGTAGATTTTGATTTTCACCTAATAATGAGGGAAATTGAAGTCGAAATAATTACTTGAAATTATTAACTCATTTTGTGCAATGTGCTCATATGAAGTATTCATTCAGAATAGTTTCGATTGTTCAGTTCCATATAAACTTGAAGGTAGTTACTTTTTAGCTTTGAGCAATGTTTATCTACATGGATAAGTGTTAATCACTATTGTATCCTATTTTGTCGTTACCAGGCTGTGTCAACTATGTATTTTTGATGGCTACATCATTCAGTTTGTATTTCTGTACGGTACGAACAGTAAGAAGATGACTTCGAAATGAAGATACAGACTGTTTTTTTAATAGATATTCGCAAACTATGAATGTATTAGAGATATTTTCAATAGTTTAAGCGAGAATATCACAATAAATCCCACTGATTGACTTCTTTGTTTATTCATGTTCCTTTTCACATCATTAGATCTTTTGGAAAAGGTTTCTAATTTGACATGAAGAAAATGAATTCATGCAGTTGAATTTTTTCTTCAAGAAACTAAACATTTTTTATTATTTATTTTCGAACACTTTGCCTCCATACTTACCATTGTTTTTAGTCGCATTTTCTTCAAGATAGTTCCTTTTTCATGATGCATTTTTCACGACACGACAGCAGAATACTTCTCAATTCACAGATAATAGTAGAGCATGATCAATACATTTACGATTATGGAACATTATTAGAAAATTGAAAATGACACGAACCTATGACAAACGAAACTGACACTAAGTTATCATCGTCTGACTAATTGAGTAGGATTCATCTAAACTGTTTCAAACATATATCTTCACAACATAATTATTCAACATTGTCATCCAGCCTTCTTCGAAATCCATCTCACGGATGGAAATGATGCTCTGAAAAATATATTTGTATTCTTGCTTTTGATGTATTTGCCGTTTTAGGAAATTATTTATGGGAATTATATGAGTCTACTATGCTTCAGTTTCTATCGTTAGTATGATGATTTCAGTGAAGGATAAATATATTTTTATTGTAGAATGAATTTTAAAATATATGAATGCTTAGATGTTATTATTCAATTGATCTTTAATATTGAAAAGAACTTCATGAAAGTCTTTTTTCTTTAGTCCGTCTATTTTTCAATTTGGCACAACAATGTAGTTGATATTTCGGCCATAAAATTTCCATCTTGGTGGTGCTTCAAATTTAAGAACAACTTCATAATTTGAATCCGATTTAGCTATAATTATATTCCCAACAGGTTGAAGTTCAAACGATGCTTCTGGAGATACTTGACAAACACGTGAGACTGCTAACATTATTTCTTCAGTGTCCAGACGAATAGAAAAGGGTTGACGCTTTTGCGTAAATAGCGTTTTGAAGGTCACTTTCAATGTATTCGATGGATAACTCCAAAAGATTGACCCTGAGTTGCAGGATGCTAGATTGGTTTCGGCTAAATTGAGCGTTGATATTAGGCATGAAAAATCAGCCATAACTCCAATACGACATGTGTCCCGATTGTCAAATTTAGCTTGGCATGCATCATTGCTCACCGGTGCTGCATAAGTAACCGTGCCGATAAATGCTGCGATGAATAGAAATATTAATGAAAGTGAAGAGAACATTGTATTGGTAGAAGTACTAGTAGATTGAAGAGAATACGGAAGAGATATATGTGTCTCAGTTTGATGTTCTGTATTTATACGATTGATCGAATAAGTATAGGTATCATTCCCATAGAGAATGTAGGCATTATGAGGAATAGGGGAAAAAGTATTCACTTTCTTCACCTACATGTATCATTCCCATAGAGAATGTAGGTATTATGAAGAATGGGAAAAAAAGTATTCACTCCTTTCATCTACGCATATCGTTATAGGTGAAAGCCGTTCACAGTTGGGTTTTTAACCAGTTATATATATGATTCATGTGAAACGGCTCATCTGTTTTTCGTCACTACATCGTCATATCTTTAGTTCTTCATACAGAATGCAACGAGGATGGTGTAGCAATAACGATGGTGATCAGTTTTTGTGCATATCTGTTGTTTTGCATCGGTCATCTTTTACCGAAGATGGTTTTTACTCACTGAAGAATGGTCGAATGACAACTGAAAACACTAGAAGAGATTCTATCCGAAGTGATTTTTGATTTACATCAGATAAATTAAGGAAATTAATGATGAAATTTGTTAGCGTCAAAAGATGTCGTTCATTGACGCTAAACTTATAATCATGTATTATCAGTTATTTAATCCTCTTGGATTTTTTCTATTGTTCATTTTGTTATGGTTGACTCTCGTGACTCATATATATATATATAATTCAGTGTTACTACACGCATCTAGCAGGTCTTGTTTTATCTTGTCATGTTGCTCGTTGAAAAAATAAAAAATACTATTCCAATTTATTAAATATTTTCTAATTTTTTTTATTCGTTATTCAAGGTTTGACTATTGAATGGATAGTATAGAGATTTTTGAAAAAATAATTAATATTAAAATTTATAGAGTATATCCGACTGTTTTCTTTTTGTTTTGTAACAAGTTTCATATTTTTATTCAAAAACATCAAATCAAACAGATATTATTGATACATCTATTTTATTATGATATATTGATGATAGTAGTATTTATCATTGTATTACTCAGCTATAGAAATTCAATCTTTTGGAATATATAATAAATATTTTTTTTGATAATAATTAAAATGCTTTAAAAACACTTAGTTATCAATTTCAATCAACTAGTTTGTATCGACAAAATAAGAGGAATATATTTTGAGAGTTTAATATTTCGGGATGGAAATATTCTTTTCAACTAAAATTTTCAGGACATCCTACTAACAGATAGACGAGTCAGTAGGCAAAATCTCAAGTCGAAATACCGTCATGCGATTTATTGGTATATACCAAGCTAGAGACTAAAATTCTAGTAAAATGTCTATAACTCTGGGCAGAAGGTCTAAGCGGATTTACCCGTTTGAAATTTTTCATATATCACTGGAGTCTACCTTATGCATGCAGTCCGAATTCAAAAGCAATTGGCCAGTAGTAAAATTTTCCTTGTCAGTGCAATTATTGCACAAGTGTTCACTGAAGTATGGGAACACATCACTACAAAAAGGGCATATTTTCATAGAGTTGATGTCTCAACGTTGCAGCGAATCCGAATGCTATTGTTCTAGTGAGCTCTATGTCGGTGACTCACTGTTCATTATTTACACCAATGCGACACATTCCTATATATAAGCGTTAGTGTATTGTCCATTGTTGTTAGTAATACACCTGTCAATAATGTTCTTATTACTGATTATTTTATAATAAATGTAGATAATGATGATTGACTTTGTTGAATATTTCGTCTTTCATCATTTGATCTTTCTGTTGAACTACGTGTGAATCCAATTGGTTTATCATTTCGGTCGGAAACGATTAAAAATAAATATTCACACTCTTCTGGACCATTTAGATTGACGACCTTTTCAGTAGTATCAAAACATAAAATAAGGATACGAGTATGGACCGTGATACAGATATAAAAGATTAGTTATGCGAGCAAATTTTGTTTTTAATTATTGAGTAATTTAAGTCAACTTCCAAGTTTGATATGCATCACAAAAGAAAATGTTTTAATTAAAGTATGATTTTATTTGAAATTTATTCGTATTTTTGATATCTTTCGAAAAAGGCTTGTTTTTTTCTTATCAACATCTTCTGAAGAAATCATAAAGCGAATTATATCCTATCGGTTAATATCAATTGGATAGCAAAACTTTGAATCGAACACATAATGAAGAGAAAACTGTTCAAAAATAAAAAAGTAAAAAGAATATTTGAGGTAAACTTTTGATAAATTTTTATTAGTTTTTGATTTATTTTAGTGAGAAGAATAAATATTAAAAACAATATAAATTGGTTCTATTTTTTTGTACTGTTTTTCCTTTTTCTTTAACATACTATAAAGAATTTAAAAAAATAAAAAAACCATCAATTTGTTTTTGAATTTCATTATATATTTAGTGTACGACATCAACTAGAGCCTATAAGAATACTGCATAAGTCTTGATTAGAAAAAGAGAAAAGTAAGACCAGTAAATATTGTAGCCGACGGACTCTAGTCGTCTGAGGAGTGTTTAGGGTTCGGTAGTTATCGAATACAAAAAAACCGGAAAACGACATATTTCGTATCTTCAGAGTGACTATCCAATTCCGATTGAAAAATTTCATTGAGTATCAAAGTATGGTTCGATCGGGTCCGAGTCCGAAAATTTTGAAACCGACGAGCTCTAGTCATACTTCGTGTCATGAAATGAGTGATGATATTTTTGTGATTTTCGAAAAAATTAGTGTAAAATCGTGACTATGGTACAAGACAAGATTTTTTTGGATTCGGCGATAAATTGAATATTAATTACTGGAGTTCAGAGATTGATTGCGTATCGTCAATTAATTAGAGAAATATTTCAAGTATGTAAAAATTAAGAGTCAAATATAATTTCTACACATTTTTTTTTTAAATAGGGATTTAAAATCAAAAGAAAATAACTAATGGAAAATAGAATAATGTGATTTCTGAGTAAAATCGTGTCCATAAATAAGTTGTATGAATTTTGTCAAAAGATAAGAATAGGAGAACTTCTCAATTTTTCTTGTATACAAATTAATTTTCATATGTTTTGTAATTTTTGTTTTTTTATTTTTAATATGATGGATTATTTCATCTGTAAATAAAAATTGAATTATTCTTTTTTTTTGTATAATCTACGCATGTTGTTCCGAATAATAATATGACATATAATTTATTTATCTTTTTCTATTTGAATACTTATCTAAATTGTTGTGAAATCTCATTTGCATGTTAGATGCTTTTATATAAGATTAATGTTTGTAGAAACAATAAATTAATGTTTTCAACAATTATTTGTTTCTCTATTTATCGTTATCGTTTTTTAAAATAAGTTTTCAAGTTAATGATTTCTATTCGTAGAAAAGCATATTTACTAATTCACATCGATAAAAAGTAAAAAAAGAAAAGTGAATAGATTCTTACTATTAAAGCATTTCCTATTAATATTTTCTTCTTTTTCTTTTTCGTATCTTGAGAGCAATATTTGTTAGAATATTAATCTCAACGGAGTTGTTTCCTTAATTGTTTTTTCTTATTTGTTTCGATCTTTCACTATTGATTTATTCAATTAGTTCTTTCGTAAGTATACGCGATAGTGCAATAAATTAAAAGTTCGATTCGAGTATACGTTCATTTAATGTTTTTATTGTTATAAGTGCTATGAGCGGAAATGTTATTTTCTTTTACACAGTGGACATTTAGTGGAAAAATGAAAGTAATGTTTTTTTTTTTACGATTTTTGAATAATAGCCAATAGCTGATGTTTTGATTTAAAAAGAAATGGCCAAGTTTTTGTCGTCTTAGAGAAAAGTATTATTCATTTGAAAATATAATGTATTTCATCGTGTTTTTTTTTTGATTAACTTTTGATAGAAACATCTTAAAGACCTGCGGGTTTTCACTATTCAAGAAAGAAGATCCGAGATCACCCCAAATTTGATTGACCAATTCGATGAGTTTTTAGCAAAGGTGTTCGAAAACAATATTCTGGAGCTAATCTTCTTTGAATAAAATCAATCGATAGAATAAATTCTTCTCTTTCGATCTACGCAAGGCCGATATTCCTAGTTTGTTTTGTTCGACAGTTATATGACTTTTGCTGAGACTCTCGACTTAAACCAATTGATCTGTGATCACCCAAAAAAGTAGCTAGACAGAACCATTCAACTCAGCATGATGAATTATCTCTGTCTAGCTACTTTTCCGGATGGTCACAGATCAATTGGTTTAAATCGGAGATCTCAGAAAAGGTTTTATACGTCTCGAACGCAACAAGTTAGGAATGTCGACTTTGAGTAAATTGAAAGAGGAGAATTTATTTTATCGATTTGTTTTATTGAATATGATATTCCTATGAAAAGTTATTCAAAAAAAAATGAATAGTAGAAAGACCTACGGAATAAATCATACAAATTCGTAAAGTTGAGCTCTTACTCTATCGTTCTATATGAAAAACTTCATCCTAACAGTTTTCCTATTAGAAAAAGTATGCATGTTTTCTCAATTAAGATTTTCTAAAAAGACGTGTTCAGTATAATCGACTGAAGCTTTCATAGAATGTTTTTTGTTCTCTGTCTGTTAGTAAAACCTGCATCAAATAAAAATTTTGTTTTTCAACAAAAGTTTTGGATAAGGCTCCGTCTCATATATTTTATATCGAAAATCTTATTTCTACAAATTTCTCTTTTTTTTCTCCGATCGATATTTATATGGAAAATATCGACATTGCCAAATTGTATGTTATTACATAGAAATATACAATATGAGTTGAGCTATATAATAAGCACACTTCCACAGTGAAGCAGAAAAAAACACAAAAAACAGTGTTTAAGTAAAATTCATAATATATAAAAACAGTCTAGGTCCAAGAAAACAGCGGGATAAACGATATAAGAAGGGAAAAAATTGGCGTCATCACATTGCTGTAAGTTTGTACAGCGAGGGAAATAGTTGAAGAAATGATGACAATTTACTAGCAAAAGAAAAATGGGTAAACGGATTACGGCAAAATATAATGAAAATTAATTTAGTAATGTGTCGTTTGAGGCTGTTTATAAAAATGTTATTTCTGATAGTCGAAATAATCTCCTTGAGAGATTATATAATGCATATTAGAATTAATTGACACAAAATAATTATATTTATATCAAATAATTTTTGTTGTGCTATGAACCATATTTACTTGTTCTTCATATTCATTCTTGATTCTATCCATTAAAAATATTATAAATTTATTCATTTGATCATATATAATATTAGAATTATCGATCATTGAAATAAAAGATTTCATTATTAATTTATCTATTGTAGTGTCAAGTTGAATATTCTCTGTAATATATTTATTAATAATATTACATACATATTCGATGACCTACAAACTGATGTCATATTTAAATATCTATCATCATCATCATATAAATCGTGTAATATATGTTGTCTTTATTCTAATATAGAATGATCGATCTTGTATTGACTTGTTAGTTATAATCTTATTAGATACGAAAAAGTTTTAAGATCATTCTATTATTTATGTGATGTCCCGTAATATTTTATTTTTTATTTTTTTTTGTAATGTATATTTATTAGTTCTCGGTCTCTTCCGATCATGATCATTATCAATAGATGAACTCTACAAGTAACAACACAAGGAAGAAAATATAAAAAAAAAAGAATATTCATATCAAAATATATTAGTATGTAATAGTATCGTGTTTAAATATCGTACAAATAAGTGTCTTATGGTATATTAAAATTAAGTTTATAATAGATATATAAAAAAAAACACTACACTTGAATTTATGTAACATTTCTGCATGCAAAAACCGATGTAATACTGTAAGATATATATATAATAAATAGAAGATGAGCAGAGAATTATTAACGTACATTTATAAATCTTTACTTTATATGATTTAGTAAGGAAATACATAGATGTTAAATTGAAATAAGGATGAAGAAAGCAAAAAATAAATAGTAATTCTTTTGTTTACAAGAATTGAATATTTATTAGTATATTTAAGTTTATAATCGATTAAAAATTTTTGTTTTTTATTTTGTATTTTGCTATTTGTTGTATTATCATTCTTATTAGAAATTCTAATTTGTAAAGATAGAAAATAAGTACATTTTTTTTTCTTTCTAGAATATATATGACCTCTCTTGAATATTCTACTTTTTCTTTCCTTATTTCCGAAATAAGTTACATTATTTATTAATATTATACTTCTTTGTTTAAATACGTAGAAGAAGTAAAAAAGCAATTAGTTTATTCTCGAAAAGAAAAAGAATACATTATATAATTTACTTCGATTATTGAATCGACATTATTATTGCCTACAATCGAGTTTTATTGACAAGATTTATCATTATACGCAATTAACTATATGCATAAGTTATACTTTATCTTTTATTTTTAATATAAACTAATGTATTGTCAAAGAGAAAAAAAGAACATACATCTGCATTTATTCATCTTGAAAATTTGATTGAAATTATTCTATTTATCTATTCCTCTACATACAAAAAAACACTTTTGTAGACATAGGTCATATTGAATATTATAATTTTTTGTTGAAGATTACACAGTTATAATAGTAACAGAAGTCATTTGTTGATTATCAAATTAACAGTACTGAGAAAAAAAAAAAAACATTTGTCAATGCATAGAAAAAACAAAAGAAAAAACAACATCCGTTGTGCGAGTACTAGCATCTTTCTTGATTTGATAACAGTCAATTTTCTGTATGTTTATGACAGATGTATCAATGCATAGTTCCTTTACACTTGAATCTGAAAGTGACACTGTTTCCCCTATGTGATTTTTCATTAAAGAAAATACACCTATACGCACTTAGAGAATTTTATTTTTAACTGAACAACATTGCTAAGTCAAGCAAAAATAATATGTTTTACTTGATTTCTCTTAGATTAATGAGCTTTTTACTTTCTAGTAGTGTGTATATCCGTATAAAGATTGTGATTATATGAACGAAAAACGCCTTCGATATAGATTTTTAAAAAAAGGAGAGAATAATTGAATCTTTTTTGTTTTTCATAGATGTATTTATATTCATCTTTTACGGATAGAAAAGTTTATTTGAATAAAATAAAATAGATTGTAATCCATAAGATGTAAATATGTGATTTTCTTCATGTTTAAGTCGATTGAGTTGATATTTATGTGCGTGTGTTCTTAGAAGAAAATAAATCTATTCAAGATGACACGCATGAAATCGACAGGCTTTTACATTAATTCTACACAGATCTGTGTTTTCTTTTTCTTTTGATTGACAATTATTTTAATTGATTCTGCATTATTTTTTCTTAAAAAATGCAGAATCACGTACACTTTTTTTTTTCTATGTGTTTTGGTTTGTCTTTTTTTAGTTGTTTTATTATTCACTATTTATTCATAAAAAATATCACAGTATTCAATTTAATCACTATCCTAGGGTTATCATTCTTATAAAGATTAATCAATATAAAACTAGCAAGAAAATCAATGTTGACAACGTTGTAATAGATGTGTGTGGGTGTACTTCGAGAAATATAAGCACAGCATCTACCTATCTCCACCATAAGCAAGCTAAGGAAGACAACGAGCGAGAAAAACAAAATGCTTCCAGTCAATATAATTAAAACGAGCGTTGAGCAGAAAAAAAAAAGAACAGATAGAGAAAAGAAATAAAACATCATTCTACTGACAGTACTCTTGAAATATAAAGGACTAGTTTAACATCGGATAGAGTATCAAATATATGGATCATATTGTTTTTTTTTTTATTGTCAAACGATGAAGTAATTAGTTCATATTGACACGAGTACATATCTTTTTCATCGAGAAATTTCTTTTATTGTTAATAAAAAATTTTTGAATAAACAATTTTATTAAAAAAAAAAATTAATGTCAGATGCAATATTATTTATTTATTTTTTATTGACTTTAGATTTCGAAAAGAAAAAATAAATCATAATAATTCTTCAAATTTAATGGCAACAATCTTTTATCATCCATCTTTATTTTTATCATCATCATCATCATCATCATTTCATATGTCAAATCAAACATCAATTGATTATTCAAATTCTACTAATAATTATATTGTAAATTTATTTATTATTATTGCTGTATGGATTGTTTTAATAATTACAATTGTTTTTGGTACAACAGGAAATATTCTTGTACTTTATGTTTATATGAATCGAAATGATAATAAAACATGTACATTTTTTATTAAAATGTTAGCTTTTGTTGATTTAATAATATGTTTAATTTTGGCACCATTAGAATTATATCAAACAACAACAGGTAAAAACTCTTTTGTTTTTTTTCAATGTGTTTTCTATTATGAACATTATGACACTGATCACAATGACTAATTTTTTTTTTCTCTCATAACGATATTTTTGTTTTTCTTTTTTATAATAAATTTCAAGGAAATCTTAACTTGTAATTAATGTAGCGTAATCAAATAGCGCGATCCGACAAAGAAAATGTTAAGAAAAGGTTACTTAGGCACTTTTTGTTGAACATGAGAGGGTTAGTTATTCACAGGACAAAAAAAAAACAACGACGTAATTTACAAGTCAATAAAGATTTTGATTGATAGCAACGATCATTTTAATATTATATCGAAGAATGTTGTTTTTTTATTATTGCACATAGAGAATTAGTCAAATCATGAAAAGATCGGTCCCAGTAGAAAATAAAGTAAGCCATGATAAATCTGTAATACGAAAATTTTAAGAGTCATTTATATGGAAAGGCAACTGTAAGGTTTTGACAATAAAATGGAATATATTTAGGCTTGTAGAGAGATAAACTTTCTCTATCTAATGGTGTATGTACATTCAGATTCTACAATAGGTGATACCACCTATATACGCAGTAGAATTTGATAATACATACACTATTAGATAAAGGAAGTCCATCTCTACAAGCCTACATATATCCTGTTTTGTGATTAAAGCTTATAGTCGCCTTTAGAATCGGATGAATTCTCAATCCGTGTTGGCAGTATTGGTTTTGGGAAAGGGAAGGAAGAAGTGAAACATGATTTGAATACTCTTTCTGATATATATTTACATACTAGAAAATTCTTGCATCTTGAATTTTCTACAAGAAGGTTTCTTGTAAAGAACAAGAATCTTGCATCAGTCCAGTGTATATCTGAAGATCCTCATGCTTCAAGAATCGATCTTGAACCATGTCTATTCAAATCTCAAGAAATTTTTCGGATATAATAGAGAAGCTGTGGTAAAATTTTCAGCCCTATATCATGATGTTTTCGTGAGATATTCAACAAACAAAGGTGAAAAATAACTCATTTAGTAGTCAAAAATTTTCTATAGGTCTTCATTCTATATACTTAATCTATTTTTTTGTTTGAAAGAACATGTCAAGATGCATGGTATGACAGAGCCCTCTTTTTTAAAATTCTTTCTTTTTAAGGGAAGACAAATTCAGTGTCGCAAAAAATGGCACTCTAATTATAAAAATACACTTTTATAACAAAGTTTTATTCAAAAAAAAGTGCTCTTGATATGTCCGGCATTCAAACAAAAAATAAAGCCATTGACTATAATGAAACTTCTTCAAGAATTTCGAGATACGGAGTCAAAAAGACTTAAACAGAGAAAAAGATTTTCCGCTCTATGTGAAAAAAAAGGAGGTGCTAAATAAAAAAAACATGTCATTGATGAAGGATCAGACCTTGAGCTATCTTCTCATGCATTTATCTCAATTTTTACGTTTTCAACGAAAATTGACTTTCTTTTTCTAGAGGGGCTTAATGAAAGGATTTATGATTAAAAGCAGACACGCAAAATTTTCAGCTGTACAACATAATGTTTAATAACTTTTTTGTCTCACTTTAGGCATTCATAATGAATTTTTTTGTAAAGTTTATGGTTTTTTAAATACTCATGTACTCTATTCAACATTTCTTATTACAACAATTGCATTCGATCGATATTTTTGTATATGTTGGCCATTATATAAAATCATAACTATCCATCGTGCACGTGCTATTGTTGCTATATGTGGTCTTTTATCATCTTTATTAGGTAGAAATTTTTCTTTCAAAAAAAACAATGGAAAAATCTTAGTTTTCTTTGTAGCTATAATACCTATGAGTGAATATTCAACAATGGATCATATATTACATATTCATAATAATCATTCAGAACAATTATCAGTTGAAAGTTATGATGAATATGATTCACCAGTTTATACACATGTTGAAAATATAAAAACAAGTGTATTAATATTACCATTTACAATTGGTAATATAACACATGTTAAATGTAGTCCAAGATTTAGTTTAAGTAAGTTAATTGAAATTCTTTGTATAAAATATGATTTGTAATTTTGTTTTTTTATATATTTAAAAAGATCTTAATTTATCGAATTTTTTATATATATATCGAATATTTCATGGTACATTATTTGCTCTATGTATGATACTTGTATTAATTCTTTATTCATTTATATATAATGCTGTTTATCGACGTCGTCGAACACGTACAAAAAAATTTTCAACTTATAGAAAAGTTCTTCAATCTTATTTAACAAATAATGAAACAGAACATGAACAAATAAATCATAATTTATCATTAAGATATATTTGTTGTTATTGTTGTAATAAAATACATAGAAAAATATCAAAACAATCAATTTTACATCAATCATTAAATAATCAAAATAAAATTAAATATTTTCATCGTAAACAAACATCAACAATGAAAAAAAAATCTGAAAATATTATTTTAGAACTTAATTCTACATGTGAAAAACGTTATTCAGCTATATCAATGACATCAATGACATATTTTACTAGTGGAGTTTGGGATGATACATCACCAACAAATATAATACCTTCAAGAATTAATTCAATAGCAGCTGTTAGTTATTGTGGAATGGAACATTCATCAGCAAGTCGTCCATCAACATCAACTGAAGATTCATTTGATCAAATAACTAAAAATAATAATTTATCACAAATAAAATCTATAACACCATCAAATTTAACACATTTAACAGTACCTAAACAACAAATAATATTATCATCTTGTTCAAATGAAACTAATAAATATAATCAATTAAATGATATTGATTTACAAGGAAATATATCACAATCGAAAACTTTACTTCAACCACCTATTGTAAGAAAACCAAGTAATACATTATCTATTCGACAACAACAACAACAACAACAACGACCATCTGATGCTTCGGCTCATCAACGAAAAGTATCATTTAGTAAGTATTTTATTTAAATATAATATCAAAAAAAAAACAAAACAAACAGAATTATTTTCTTACAATTTACAAACATAGATGAGATCTATTGAGTATTTCATAGGCTATTTCTCATTTATAATGCTCTTAAAAAAACCGATATCTGACTTCGTTACATTTTGTGTTTTTTTATTAATTATAAAACAATAATAAATACTCCGGAAATTTCTTCTTTCAATAGTGACATCGCGAGGAATAACTACTGATTGTTGTATTATTGAAGATGCACCAAGTACAAATCAACAAATAAGTTCAACGTCATCAATTATAAATCAACAAATAATAGTTAATATAAATAATCAACGTTCATTATCAACATCATCATCAATTGATCCATCAGTAAGAGACTCAATTTCATCAAAACGTCGAACATCAGGATTTGATGGAGAAACTAAACGTGTATTTGAAAGACAACAAAGACAAGAACGTTTAGCAAATATTCGAACAACATTCACATTATTTATTGTTACTGCAACTTTTATTCTTATGTATTTACCATCAATTATAATTACATTATTTAATATAAAACCATATGAATTTCGTGAAGTTTTATTTTTACTCTATTATATTAATAGTGCAGTAAGTCTCAAAAATAAAAACAAACTTAGAAAATACATTCTTGGTTGTTTTTTTTCTTTCTAGTGTAATCCACTAATCTATTCATTTTTTAATGTTAATTTTCGTAATGATATTCGTCGTATATATGAATGTCACAAACATATATATTTTGCTTGACCATATTAAACTAAATATTTCAACACTTATTATTATTATTATTATTATTTATTTATATATCTATTATGTATAGCCGATTAATTATTCTATTTTTTTTTTGACCTTGGAATACAAACGAAAAAGAACAGAAAATAATAATCTATTACAATAATCATAATAATGTTATAACTCTTGAATAAAAAAAAACTGATAAATACAATATAGAGATATATATTATAAAATTGAGTAAAAATGGATTATACTTTTGTTTGTTCTCATCAATAAAAATAATTCTTCAAATGACTTTATATTATTGATTACAATAAAAAAAAGAACAAGACATGACATGAAGAAGAAGAAGAAGAGAAAATGTTTTGTAGAAATGAAACAGATGACTAGATCGAAATGTTTTTGACAGTATAAATTAAAATAAAATATATAACAGAGACCCAACCAGGCCACGTTTTCGAGGCCTGGCAAAAGCCTGTCAACTTTTTCAAGAGAATAAAATAATGATGGCAGACTAGAAATCAAAGGTCCAAGGAGAGTACTAGGGCTACTATCCTATTCGGACCTGACCTGCTTGTCATAGGCATGAGCCACGATTTTTAGACCAGTGTCAGTCACAAGTCCAAGAAGGTTGTTGGCCGGGCTGAGCTTGTCACTTACACTGATCTGTAAATTGTGGCTCGTGCCTATGACAAGCTGGTCAGGTCCGGATAGGATAGTAGCCCTAGTGCTCTCTTTGGACCTCTGGTTTCTAGTCTGTCATCATTATTTTATTCGCTTGAAAAAGTTGACAGACTTTTGCCAGGCTCTCTAGACCTCTAAAACATGGCCTGGTTGGACCTCTGATATATAATCTTATTTCATAATAACCGGTATTCAACTTGTATAAAGAAATGCTGGAGCAAAATTATCAAAACTTCTTTGAATACCTTTATATCTGGGTAAACTTTCCATAAATGAATGAATATGTTTTTGTATAGGTGTTTTTTCTGGTTAAGTTGTTTTTGATAATTTTTTCTGTACATTTATTTGATTATTGAAAATGATGCATCCAATGTAAATCATTAGTTGATTGTTTTTATCGATTTAATAGACTTGCTTTTTATTATTGGAGGCAAGTATTGAAGTTTTGAACATTGCCATCGATGCTAATACGAATAGAATAAAATCCAATGCTTACGAAACATATGAAACTAAACAGATGACAAGTAGGACATGACGCTGACTTATGGTTAACTCTGCCAGTGAATTTGAATTTTAAAATAGATTGAGATAGAGGAAACAAAACAATGATTACAAGTGTCAGATAGAGACCTTTCTGACTCGCAAATTTTCAAAACGTTTTTCGTACATCTTTGCCATTTGTTCGAATTTTTATTCTAAAGAGCATAACTTATTGATCAATAAATATAAGAGAATCTTTATCGTATCCTTAGAATTCATATATATATATACCAGTGGCGTAGCCAGAGGTACGACAATTGCCCATGGATCTTTTTGAAATGATCACAATTGCCCAATGGTGGAAAAGTCTTGATGCACATACATGTACAAAGATCCAGGTGGTATCATTTTAATATATTGTATCTTGTTATGATCTAATCAAGCGATCCAGAAGGATCAACTGACTATTTTTTTTCTCCTATTAAACTGATGGCCACAATGATGATAATTCAATGGTATCTTTTCTGTCAAAATACTCGTTATTCCATTTTAAATTCGCTAATGGTACTATTAATTTTTTTTGACGTAATATATTTGAAAGTTGAAAAGTACATTTATGAAACAGTACAAAAAAAGTAAACGAGATTGCTCTTAGTTGCAAGTAATAAACATCAGTTTTTGAGATGATAATAAGTTTTAAAAAATTATAGCCCGATTATCGATTATCGTCCACTCCTTAAAATAATTTATCTGAGAACCAGCCAATGACTTCTAAATTCCTGGCTACGCCACTGATATACAAATACACTTATCTTTAATTCAGGTATCCATCCTCAGTCTTTGGTCGATTATGAGTTTGTCACAGAAGAGAAGATTAACAAAAAAAAAATATCGATTCGTAATACTTTTTAGTTTTTTTAAAATCTTTTTGACAAGTTTAAATTGTCGTAATGTAATCTTTAGTCGAATTCACAACTTTCTATGTCAAATATTTGCTCTCTTCACTTATTCATAGTACAAAA